AAAATTCTTTGGTTTTATGTCTAAGCATATTCTTAAAATCTTTCCACGAAGGGGGCAGCTTATCAATAATGCAAGCAACTTGAAATTGATCGTCCAGAGGCATACCTTCAGAGACGATCTCATGAGCTATTTTCTGAAGTTCGTGGGACTGAACTTCGACAGACTTGTCATTTACCATATGGTAGCGCAGGTAGCGGCTGACAGCATACTTCTTAGCTCCAGCCTCCTCCGTGTCGTACTTCTTTTGGAGCGCATCCCAGATCATCATCACGGTGTTCTTGATGTCTGCATAGTAGTCGTAGAGATCGTCTGCCAGGACGTTGAGGATGTAATTCTTGCACAGGAAGTCATGCTCCCTTTCCTTAGCAGAAGCAGCCCTCTCCTCATCGGTCGCTTCTTCCGGCAGCTCGACGGGCATGCTGGTGAGGTAGTGTGCCAACTTTTTGGTCGTCAGGTAGAACTCCATCTTTTGTCTCCAGCGACGGAAGTTGACCCCAACGAAGCGAAAGGGTCGATTGATATCGACAGCACCAGATCCGCAATGTTGTTCGGTTCAGTTGACATAGCAGCAGCCGAACGTCTTAAAATTTTTAGGAATGGAACAACAATAAGAACGAGGTTACCGAATCTGGAGCTGAGTCGCGGACTAGGTCGCTCTCTTTAAGACGTTCGCGGCACTTCCCTCGATGCGCAAGGTAGACTATCAACCGGTCGTCTCCAAGATAAAATAGCTCCTCTTTGTACTCGCGGTTTTGTGCGAAAACCGGAGCTCTCCGAACACTCTCTCTATTGTGTTTATGCTCGTTGTGGTGTATTTAGAGGGGCTGGGGAGGCGGCTATTTATAGGAGCCGAACCCCTAGGAATATACCCTCTTGCTTGGGGAATAAGTCGGATTAATTAAGGAAGATAATTGCTTCCTTAATTAAAACCGTCGGTTAAGATAAATCTTGCGGGATTATCCTTCGAATATTCCTTTTTAGTCGATTATCCTTAGAATATTCCTCAGAATAACCGATTAATAATTAATTATTAGATAATTAATTTCGTTCGGAATTTCTCCAAAAAATATATATAGTCTCAAGTGAACCAACCAACTGACCGTTTGGTCAGACGGCCGCACGCGCGTGTGTGGTGGTCCGTTAGGTCCTGCCTCTCCCGCAAAAGTGGGTCACCCCAAGGGGCATGCCCTTAGGAGAGAGGCTCCTATCTTTATACACATTTCACCAAGTAAAACTACCAATGTGGTAGTTTTTCCACTTGAGACTCTATAGCTTTCAAAACTATTCATACATTTCCAACATTTTTCGGGTCCGGATTTTACCCACCCGAATAGGTTAGATTTGGGCGGATAGCCATGGTCATGATTATTTTTCCCATCCTTAAGGGTGCATAGTCATGGTGGGTAGGGAGGGAAACATGTCCGGGTAGGTCGATTTTCATATATACCATCCCCAAACTATGTTATTAAAATAGTAACCATTTTTGTAACCAAAATTGTGCGGGGATGTAATATGTCATATAAAACCCAGCCAATATGTGGTCCGCAGTATGGGGAAATCCACCTGCACCATCCTCGAACAATCATATGTATTTTTTTTTTTGTATAATCTAGGATTCCCAATGCTAGAAAAATTACTGAATTCAATCCTATTGCCTACATTAATGTCATTTACAAAAGCTTCTCCAAATCTTTAGTAATTAGATTGCATGTAGTTATCCCAATATTATTAGAAAAAAACTAGTATGCACTTGTCAATGATAAAAGCATTGTTGATAACATAATGTTGGCTCAAGAATTTGTACAAAACTATCATAGGAAAAATATCAGTCCAAGAGGAACAGTCAAGTTGGATCTCATGAAGGCATTCAATTCAGTTCATTGGAGTTATCTTTCTGTGTTTTGGAGACTATGAATTTTCCTATCAAATTTGTGTACTGGATCCAAATGTGTCTCAAGTCAACCACGTTTAGTATTTTAGTCTATGAAAGTCTATTTGGTTGTTTTACATATAAAAAAGAGTCAGGCAGGTGGATGGACTCTCTCCATATCTATTCACTGTAGTTATGGAAGTGCTCACCCAACACCTACATAAACAACTACCAGCTTAACACATATCTAGCTAGTTCTAGTAAGGGGAGGCTCCTTTTGGGTTTCCTAGGTCCATAAGTATAGGTTGAAGGATCGGTCTTTTTGTAACACTGCAAATATCCTAGCTAGGATCCTAGCTATGGAAGAAATTGTTGAGGGCTAGGCCTTGGTTTCAATACAGAATGCTAAGTGAGGGGAATCAGGTTACTTGGGAAGGAAAAATTATACAAAATTTTTCTGTGAAGCAAATCTGGAACTCCATTAGACTCATGAAAGACATAGAGCATTGGTATCCTATTCTATGGGGGAAATATGTCTTGTCTCGACATAGATTTCTAAGTTGGTTTGTTATCCTGAATCTAATTACCACAAAATGATAAACTACTGGCATGAAATTGTGTAGCTTCTGCTAGTTGTGGTTTTTGCAATGCAGAAGATGAGACCATACATCACCTTTTCTATCAATGTCCTTACTCGAGAGAAGTTTTTATTGCTGTAATGGCTTCTGTCAGCTGGTCAAGTGATTGAGAAGCTATGCTAAGCCAAGTTTGTCAGATGGTGCAAAAAGATGGAGCTGATAGTGCTATGACATGAAGTCTATGGTGTTGGCTTATTGCTGTGATTTAGAAAGAAAGATGTGGTAGAGTATGTGCTAACCAACAACAACAATTACCGGAAAACATTAAGTTTCTTTATCATTTTTTTTTTGTAAACTTGATAGAAAATGAATAAGATTTGAGGTCTAAAAGATAATTATAATATTTTAGGTATATGGATGAACGAAGTGTTAAAGTGAATGAGTCTAGAATATTGTTATCATACATATTCAAGTGGGTGTGGTTCAGATACTTAAAATACTAAAACCGCATCAAACCCATCACCCTCTTTGTCGGGTACGAGAAAAATTTACCAGAAAATAATATCGGTTAGATTTTTTTCAACAAAGTTGATTCAAATTCGGTTGGATACCAACTGTAATAAGTTATTTTGCCATTCCTAAATCTACTTGTTCAAAAAAATTCAAAATCTAAATTAAAACAAAGAAGCATTTAAAAAAATAAATAAAAATTTAAAAATTACTATCTCGTATGTATCTAACCTAGGGCTGACAAACGGTGACAGTATTCGAGGGTGGCTTGGGACATCCAATTTATCGCCCCCAGCCTCGGTAAAAATCGACGGTAAGTCGGTATTACCGAAACCGGAACGCGGCGTTTTACAGCCCAATCACCTGGACTCCCTCCCTACTTCACATTAAGTTGGCGGCGGTGGCGGGAGAAAGCAGAAGCAGCGGCAACTCATCGTCCATCACCGGCCGCCAGAATCCCTTCCATCGCTAGCTCTGAAAGTTTCGTTCGAAGGAGGAGTCTCAAGCTTCTCCATTCTTGGCTTCTTGCCCATATTTTTGAGTTCTCATTGGAGCAAGATGAGTTCCCTCCAGATGGCTTCCGACGTCGCGGTGTTACCCTAATTAAAAAAATCAATCGAGAGTCAGACTCCTCCACTCTTTCAGTAGACGCCTGCCTCTCGCTTCGCCCGCCGCCTCTCCTTTTCCAAATCTCCTCGTCGCGACTTCGCGACTCCGCTTCTCCAACCACGCCGCATCGTCGGAGTCGCAGCACTCCCTCCGCCTGACCGCTAGTCCGCCTCGCCTCCCAGACCCCAGTCTTCCTCGCCATTACTCCTCTTCCATTCCTCTGCCACCGCTAGGACCGCCACCGCCAGAAGCCCAGGACAGTGACAGAAGCCTTCCTCCGCGGCTCCACCAGTCCTCCTCCGCCGGGCCGCCTCCTGACCACATCCTCGGCTCCTCCAGGCTATCTCTCCGCGACTCCGCCTCTCCCAGTCTCCCTCCCAGCCTTGCTCGGTTGCTCCTGCCTCCTTGCCCCTTGGATTTTTGCTTTGGACAGCAGCAGGCCAGCCAACAACAGCCAGCAGCCGAACTGAGAAATCGCCCATCGTCGTTCCTCAACGGTATTTCGGTAAACCGGTTTGTAACCATTTACCGGTAATTCGGTAACCGGTATCGGTAATCGATTCCAAATTACCCACTGTCGGTATACCGAAACCGGTAAATTCGGTAACCGGTTTACCGGTTACCGACCGAATACCACCCCTAATCTAACCCAAGGTGGTCAACTCAGTTTAGCCCGTTGGCCTGGTTGAGCAAGTGGGTTGAAGGTTAATGGTCTGACCGCTTTAGCTCGGATATATGGAAACACCATTATATTGTTCATACATTTATAAATTATATCGAATATGATCAAATATACGAATAATAACATATAACACTACACCAAAATAACATGTCGTAATTGTATCCAACATATAGTAAATATTTACACACTAAGTAATAACATATAACATATAACACTACACCAATAATCAAATGATCAACTTAGAATTCCAAAGATAGGTTAGGCAAAGAGAAAAACCGGAAAATAGACGTATATTACAAACCAAATGAAAAAATAACACGTGTGACCTCCAATATGATAACCTTGCAGCGGGTCAAACCGACCAGTGTATGCAGTCAATTTTTCTCACCGAATCAGGTTAAAAGGGATCAATCGACGGTTTGACTGGCCGACTCACAAACCTTGACCACACTGAAATAACAAATATGTAATCGAGGTTATGTATCGATCTGATAGTCGAGATAGGGAAGAAGAAGAAGAGCATAGACCAAGTTACTAGAAGCCTTGTAAAGTAATTGAGCTGACCCCGACCACAGACCGATTCACCCACCCACCTGAAAAAGAAAAACAAGTTCCTAAAGTCTAGGGGCATGTGGACAGTATCCTAGAATATAGTGTCCAATAGTGTAATTCGCCCTCACGCGTTTTGATTCTTTGTTTACTTTTTCTTTCCTTGAAGTTGTAACCGATTATTTCGTATACACTGAAACATCTCTTGTCATCTCACTCTCTGTCTTTCGTCTCTTTCTCTCTCTCAAGTCTAAAGTGTAGCCTATCTTTCTCCCAAACCGAAGCCAAAATAAATACACACAGCGAAGTTCTCAACGAAGACTTTTCCTCAACGCTACAAGGATCGCCGTCGTTCGCCCGGCCCCCTTCTCTCATTTCTGCCGATCGCCGTGATAAGGTAGCTTTCCCGTTTCCTTTCCTCCCTCTCCAGTCCTAACCTACGATTTTGGGTTCTTCCATTGTTGCTTTTGGCGCGGGAGTTTCCTTTTCGTTTGCCTGCCTGAGTTCGATTTTTAGGGTTGTGGGTGGTGCGGAATGGGGATTTTATTGCGCGGTTTGGCGTACACACAGTTCATTCTATTTTCCTGGACTGGGTATTTTATGGTCGTCTTATGGAAATGAAGCGAGAAGAGCGGTGGCAAGACGGGGATTACTTGATTGATTGAGGGCTTGATGAGTTAGGATTCCTCTGTTGTTGTCTCCATCTGGGATTTTGTCTGATTGATAATAGGAATTGAAGAGGAGTTACTTCATTGATTAGCTGCAATTCATCTTTTAACGTACTTCATTTTCATTTTATTTCGTTTCTCCACCGGAAAAAGTTGCATCTTTTTCTATTATGCTTGAGAATTAACGATGTCTGAACTCATCTTGGACTGCAGCTCCAGATTCTTCGTTTCGACTTCTTATGGTACTTCAGCTTTGATTTCTATGTTTTGGGTGCCGTTGTTTACGGGGCTCTCAGATCTTCTCTATTACTCCGTTACTTTTGGACGTTTTTAGGTCCAATTGTAGATACCAGTTTGTGTTTGTTTGTTAATGTATATAATACTTTGTTAGCAGGATGAACAAAAGCTGTGATGATCGATATTATTTTGTAAAATGAACAGGAAGAACCTGCTTAACTTAAGCTTTTAACACTCTCGAGTTCTCATCTTTGTGTCTCATATATCTGTTGTGGTTTATCAGGAGTTCCATACAGAAACTAATGAGTGATCATCTAGATTCTGGTGCTGACCGGAATATAGCGCCTGAAAATTCACAACCAACAGTAGGTGCTGATATACTTCCGCCTTCTGGGGGTTCTTCTTCTCAGCCTGTTGATAAATCCACTTGTTTTATTGATATGGAGCGAGTTGGAGAACATGATGGTTGCGATGAAAAGGAGCCACTTATTCAGACAGTGGAATGCCGAATTTGCCAGGAGGAAGATAGCCTGGTGAATTTGGAGGTTCCCTGTGCTTGTAGCGGCAGTTTGAAGGTAATTCTGCTTTCCATGTTGTTTAGATGTTTTCAGGAAATTCAAAATTTCTATATTAAGAATTATTCGATTTGAAACCTGGGATGTCCATCCAATGAATGTGGGTGTTGTATGTGTTTTGACCTGGTAATTCATTAATCATTCTTGACAAAAAAGTTGTTTTCTTATGTACTTGCATATTAGATCGTTCGTTGTATATTTCTCTATGAATGGATTGCAAAGCTTACATGTTTTCCTTTTCCAGTATGCTCATAGGAAATGTGTTCAGCGATGGTGCAATGAAAAGGGAGACATCATTTGTGAGATATGTCACAAGGTAAGGAATTTGAGTTTAAGGAGCATATTATTCATGCTGCGTGGGCCTGCAACAAGATGTCATCAAATCATGGACTTTTACCTCGTTGAGTGTATTGATTCTATACAACAAAAAGGGGATTATTTTTGCTAACTGGATCATATAGAGGACACACTTTTTAAAGTGAATTCAATAGATTTCTGCTCATTCTTGCTAACTTCCTGTCGAGTCCTTGAAATTTATCTTGTGAGAAAATTTAAATTTGCTTTATTGTTTTCTTAGCCTGTTTCAGTTATTGACTAAAATGCATAATTTACCTAAACTGTATGCTGCAATGTTGATTCTATCGCTTTTCGTAAGAAGCTGTTATATACTGAAAAAGTGAAGCCTTGATTATTCATTTATTCTAGTTGTCTAAGTAATCCGAAACAGTGATCTGATGGGTGTGGTGAGAAGTAGAATTAATACGTGTTGATTGCGTTGTTCTGGTTAAAAGTGGGTGAATGTATAATCCTTGCAGGTTACAAAGTGTTCATGAGTATCATTACTTTTGCCCGAGTTGTGCAAGATGGATTTGGGAGTGGAAATTATATAAATCATTCGGACTTCTAATCAGTTTTCCTTGTGTTACAGCCTTACCAGCCTGGATATACTGCCCCACCACCACCACCGCAGCCAGAAGACACTGCAATCGATATAGGGTAAGCTCTGCTCATGGAGGTTTCGTCTTTTTGTGAAGAAATTGTGTGAATATATGTATCTAGGCTCTTCCAGTCTCAACCTTGTCATGTCATTTTGGGATCTGTACCATGTTTTTCTGTCAATTGACTCAAGATGTCTCAATACCATGGTTCAAAAAGGCATGCTTAAACTTACGCTAGGCAACGATATAGGGGTTCGTCTCTGAATTAGATATTGGAAACACGTCGACAGAGTAAGGCAACACATAGGTGTCTCGTAGGTATAATTATATGGAGATAGATAGTCAATATCAAACTGGGATTTAGGATCATCTACAAACTAAATCTTCTTTATCAATATTTTTTTATAGCTCAAGAACTTTGTGAGCATTTGAGCTATTATCTACGAATTTATGATCTACGAATGTGACTAATTTTATTATTGTTAGGTGTTAAGTAAGTTATTAATCATTTTAACTGATGTGTGAAAGTGTTGTGAATTTTTATTTCATTCATCATGTAGTACAAATTGTTATTTTTCTTCCAACACCTAAGCGAGCTAGGCACTAGGCAAGGCTCCAACGCCCGTCTTACGCCTACTATTTTTTTGAACCTTGCTTAATACTGTGGTCCATAAGCTCTTCTTATCTGTTTGCTTTTTCTTCATTTGCTTAATGAATTGCTACATTTCTATTTCTAGCAGTGAAGGTTGGACTATTGCTGGCACTCCATTGGATCTGCGTGATCCCCGAATTTTGGCAATGGCTGCTGCTGAACGCCATTATCTAGAGGCTGAGTACGATGAGTATGCTGATAGTAGTGCGAATGGGGCTGCATTTTGTCGATCTGCTGCTCTAATTGTAAGTCGTCAATGTCTTCAGGGTCATTCCATCTTTCAGAAGACAGGAATGTGGGATCTCTTGACTTGATTAGTTTATTATTAACCATTTTCTTGAAGAATCTTTACCTTGAATATCCTGCTATCTGATATGTTACATGGCAAATTGGGTTGCTTACATTTCCATAATTCCATCCATTTCTTCTCCATTTTCAATCCCTTCTGTGGGGTCTTGATGTAGGACCACAATAGATGGTCAGGTGCAGATTGGGGAGTTTAAGTCCATTTCCTGCCGTGTAGTTTATTCTCTGGGTCATATCCTCATCGAGAGGAAAAAAAACTTAAAATCTCTGATGTTTGTTTATTGGCGACAAGGAACCTGTTTCAATTTTGGGTGAACCAAGTTCTGTATGTTCCTCTTCTCATTGTTTTTTTTGTTGGTCTGTCTTTCTTACCAGCTAATGGCTCTTCTACTCTTGAGGCATGCTATGTCCCTAAGCAATTCAGATGATGATGACGATGATGCATCTACATTTTTCTCTGTGAGTATCAATCCGAGGGTAGTATTATGTTGCATTTATGTTGATTAATGTTGTACACCGGGCTAATGTTTTTTTCTTTCATCTTCTTGAAAATTGGAATTTTACCAGCTTTTCTTGCTTAGAGCTGCTGGGTTTCTTCTGCCATGCTATATCATGGCTTGGGCTATCAGCATTCTTCAACGAAGAAGGCATAGGCAGGTTGGTATTGCAAGTCATTGTTTTCCTTTCTTTCTCTAACTTCTCTGTGAAGATTTACAGCCTTTTTTTTTCTTTTGCAAAAGAAAACATGTAAAGTTTGCTTTATAGTGAATCTCACTTAATTTTGTGCTTCGCCTGAATCAGGAAGCAGCAGCACTTGCAGCATCAGAAGTTGCCTTCATGATACAGGCAGGCCAGCACCCAGGCTTGCATTTCACAGTAGCTGCTGGTCCCGCATTAACAACTCCTGAAGAAGCAGCACCTCCTCCGCCTCCAAGACATTCAGCTTAACTGATCTAGTAAATTTATTTGTGGTGGTTATGGAAAACATGAGAAGGTTCTGTGATTGTCCGTCCAAGTTGTAGCATACATCTTTAAATATGATCCTTTCCTTTCGGGACACCGCCTATATGTCTCTCCTGTGACTTGACCTGAGCGGGATATGTTTCCTTGACATATGTATTGATGTACATAGATTGATCTGTGATGTATGTCTCCAGCCGCCGTTTGTTTATGCTGCTTTGGGATCTTTATAATGGCAGGGGCTGAGCTGTTGTTTGTTTGAATGATGCATGTTACGCTAATATGTATAACTAATCTTGCTGTTTTTCGTGGGCTTAATTGCAAGTTTGGTCACTCGAATTGCTACAAAATTTCACGTTTGCCACTCAAATTAATTTATTCCATTTATAGTCACTTAAATTAGGTTAACAGTCCAAGTTTGGTCACTGGCCGTTAGTCTCCGTTAACTTTTGCTGATGTGGCGGTCAACTCTTATAGTTGACCGTTAAATGAGTGACGTGGCAGTTAAAAAATTAATAAAATAAAATAATTTAATTATTTTTTATTTTCCACCTAATTATTATAAAAATAAAAAAAAAACCTAAAAACCTAATTCCTTTTAATTGTTATTTTCCACCGCCCGTAGTCGTTCCTCTCCCGACCGGCCAAGCCCCGCGTGGTGGAGGAGAAGTAGGCGGTGGCGGAGGAGGAGGCCTAACGTACACGATCTTGTTCAAGGTCCTCGGGTCATCCACACTCTGCCTCTCGCCGACGGCAAGACGGAGACCCTCGCCGCGTCCATTTCCATGCTGCTGTCGTCATCACCCGCCTCCATCGTATCCGCGTCCACCACTGACGTCGGCTGCAATAATGGAGCCTGAAATGGCGCCGCCAATTCCTCGCCCTCATCACCCAACGACGCCGCCGATTCGATTGGGGATGGCGCTGGAGCTTCGAGAGGGGCATAATCGTCCTCCTCCTCCTCCTCCGCGGGTGAAGGCGCTGGAGGTTCAATAGGGGCATAATCGTCCTCTTGGGCTGGCGATGGAGCCTCGAGAGGAGCATAATAGTTGTCGTATGAGAGCTCGCTTGGCGCTGGAGCTTCGAATGGCGGGAAATCGTCTTCTTCTGCTGCTGGAGCAGGGGACGGAGACTCGACGTCGTACAGCAGCTCATCAGTTGGGGAAGATGCTGGAGCTTCAAATGGCGCATAATTATAATCTCCTGTATCGTCTTCGTCGGTCGGGGAGGGCGCCGGAGCTTCAAAGGGAGCTTCTTGGTCGTCGGATTCTGCAATTTCTGGGTGTGGGAAGTCGTCGGCGGCGCCAACCTCATCGACGCTTCCCTCAAATTAGGTTTTTTTTATTTTTATAATAATTAGGTGGAAAATAAAAAATAATTAAATTATTTTATTTTATTAATTTTTTAATTGCCACGTCACTCATTTAACGGTCAACTATAAGAGTTGACCGCCACATCAGCAAAAGTTAACGGAGACTAACGGCCAGTGACCAAACTTGGACTGTTAACCTAATTTAAGTGACTATAAATGGAATAAATTAATTTGAGTGGCAAACGTGAAATTTTGTAGCAATTCGAGTGACCAAACTTGCAATTAAGCCGTTTTTCGTGCATCAACAACTTACTTGATTTCTAGGTTGATTGGATACTGAGCTGCAACCTTGCAGATCACAAAATGACAGAGGAACAGTCTGATAGTAGTTTTTGCTTTAGGAAGTGTCTTGGCTCTATCGTAGTAGTCCCTCCCGACTATACTATGCCACAAGATTTTGACACCAGTCTCTGATCTGGTGGTCCATTTTGACATGAGAGTCAGAGATGGCAACTGCTCTATGTATGTATGTACATAAATGCGTTAAAATCATATCCTAACGCATTTATGTATGTACATTTTTTGTATAAATTCATACACGCATGATATAATAATTGATTTTTAAACATTGACCAGTTCCAAGAAATTGAGTACTAATACACTCTAAACTTCACCAAGAAATTCAACTTTATTGTTCCACGCCGAAGGTAAAAGCTCAAAGATGGATAGCAAATAGGTCTGAGATGCCTTAAAAAAACTGGAGTGGTTGGTTTCTTGGAGCTGGACTAATTTTCGCAAGATGAAAAAAGGTGTTTGCTTCTCTAGTTGGAGAATTCTCGGCTGCGCTTAGCAGCAGCAACAACAGCATTCATAAGCAAACCCCTGAATCCATCCTTCTCCAGCTCATGTATCCCCGCAATGGTAGTTCCTCCTGGTGACGCCACTTCGTCCTTCAGCTGCCCTGGATGCTTCCCACTTTGACACACCATACTTGCTGCCCCCAACACCTATATGCATATATTATCACAAATGACTATCAAATTTCTATACAGGAAATGAACCAAGTAGTTGAATAAAACTTGTAAGCGGATCCTGTTCAAGTAAATGCTGATTGGAAGCTCAGCTTTGAGAGGCTGTAGATTGAGTTTCTTAGTGAGTGTCTATAGAGTGTTTCTGGGTTTTGTGCTCCGTCTCTTCTGCTTTTTGAAATAGGGAGATTTGTGTAATACTTTTGTGGGCTGGGGATTCCCCACCATTGAGCTTAATAAAATTTTGATTAACTATAAGAAAAACAAAACTTGTAAGCATACTGTATGTATCTGACTTACAGTTTGAGATGCTAGACCGAGTGCAAGCTCTCGTGGCAAGCCAGCAGCTACCCCTCCATCAGCCAAAGCTTCTATTGCTATGTACACGTATGCCGGTCCACTACCACTGATCGCATCAGAGTAAACAGAAAACTGGATCAGCTTGTTGGAAAGTGACAGTATTAAAAGAAAAGTTTGAACTTTTACTGCTACATAGATCAATTAATATGCGCTCTTCAGGAAACAAGTTAGACTTTCTGCTACAACAATCAGCCAGTCCAGTCTTTGCTTTAGATAAAAAAAGGTATTATACCTCAGCCCTGTAATTGCATCGAATAGCTTCTCATCAGCTTTCCATATCTTGCCAACAGATCCAAATAACTTGGATATCAGTTCCCCATCTGCCTCAGTCGCAGCTCCACCCAAACTCATTACTAGACAGAAACAAGCACAGTGAAAAAATAATGTACACAAGAAGAATAATACTAAGCCAAAACATCAAGCACTTCTGATGAATGCACATGCACGAAGGATTTTATATATAGTAAAAAGAGAGCAAGTAGCCAACAAAGCAGCAAGAGGATCATAGCCTTGAGTTCCCAGAAATAGAAACCAAACTTGTACACAAGATGAGGAATACGAAGCCAAAACATCAAGCGAAATAAACAACAAATGATGTAAAGGTCTGTAACTCCTACCGAAGAAGTCACCACCAGAGCAGCAATACAGGAAGACAACGATAATGAAAGTATTTTAACCCAACTAACATAACATGGCATAAAAAAACTCATAAAGAACCATAATGTAGTCTAAAATGGAAAACAGTACCTGTTGCTGCCTCTCCCACTGCAGCAGGAGTGTTAGGCATCACCCTAACAAATCTTTCACTTCCTGCCCATGTCTAATGTAAGGAAAGAGATATTTCAGTCCAACAGTCGAAGGTGTACAAATTTAATAGTCATAGTTGAAAATACAAAGATAAAATTGCATATAATTAGAACTGATGCAGATTGAGCTGAACTAGAACTACATTTCTCAAGGTTTTTTATGACATGAGGATTGAAACAAAGAACCACATTGCATCTATTGTTATTTTAAGTTTAATGTTTGACGTAAGGCAAACAGCAAATGACAACCTTTTGCAATAGGAATTATTTTAACTTGGTATGGCTCTCAGTGACCAGTTAACTTCACAAACGTCTTTCTTAATATTGCATCAGGAAGGAAAATGCATCATAAAGACACAGAGATCTCTTGGAAAAGGCGCCCCAAAACCAAACCTGCAAATCTTTTAATTTGACACCAGCAGCCACTGAGACCAATAGTTTTTTCTTCGATAGCAGGGGCTGCAACTGCAACACCACATCCTTAACTGCAATAAGATCAACAAAATCCTATTCACAATCAAGGATATAGCTCTAGAAATAGAACAGGAAAAAATAATCCATAAAATACCAACAGAATCACATATCTCAAGATCCCTAGTGAAATACAATGAAAACAAAAGACATACAGAAACAACTCATTGCTATGTCTGCAAGACCACAGTCTAGTTGTGGACACAAGGTGCAGCCCAGGAGTTGAGTTCTTACAATCCCTTCACAGCACCTCATCTTTCCTTCCGTTGAACTGAGAAAGGATAAAAGGTTTTTCATTTACGTGTTTTATGCATAACATTACTTCAACTTCAGCTTTTCTCTAGATACTTAAGAAAAAAATCAGGGGACAGCACAATTTTCAACCTTCAATCTAAAAGCATTCTGACAGGCTAGAAAGTCATCGATTTCCACCGGTTAACTGATAAACTGTGCTACAAGCTTCTCAGTACTTCTTAAGGTTTTAGAGGAAATGCATCAGTTTCTGGAAAGTAACAATCTTCTTGGACAAGTTCATTCAGGTAGGTGTGTCACTTAATTATCCATGAGTCGTTTGATGTTGTTAGATTCTGTGAAGTCCCGAGCGATATAACACTGAAGCGATTCCAAAATGAAAACGCGGGGGAAAACAAGGAAAGGAATTCTTTACCAACTTGGGGCTTCACAGAAAAAATCACCACATCACTATCTTCAACCACCTGTTTCCATAGAATCATATTATCAATTACCATATATGCATAAGAAGGAGGTAATGATGACTAGACATAAAAGCCATCAACAGCACTGCCATGTCAACAAGGGGGGGAAAAATGGAACTAACTGATGCAATCTAATTGTCTAAACATCTGCGGGTTAGTGGTACTTGTACTTCCCTGCACATAGATCAGCATATACAGAAGGGGGAAAAGAATTTACTGAATCAATGAGAAAAGAGAAGCAATTACTTGTTGGTTCTGAGAGAAAACTTTAACACCAAACGACTCAAAGGCAGAGCGGCGAAGAGGATTCGAGTGGGCAGTAGAAATGCGGGAAGGGTGGAGGACACCGGACTGCACTACTCCTCTCGCAATGCTCTCAGCCATTTTCCCTGCACCGATGAATCCCAACTTGTATGTGTCGAGTTGAATTGGAGCGGTCGTCATGGCAATCACTGATCACTCAAACTTGCTCAGTTGCTGCTTCCTGAGGAATACAAAACAAGCCGCCGCAATCTCAGAAATCATGGCTAGAAAGAAAAGCGCAGAGTTAGCTTTTCTTTTTTGACATCTCGTGAATGCAAAACCCTGGTGAGAACCAATTTCAGCAGGGAACCGATCAGAAAACGAAGGCACGTGAATCAAAGAGAAGTGGCCTTCCAAATAAACTGGGAATGACCTGGCGATAAGTGCAAATTCCTGCAACTCCATTCAATCAATTACTCACTGCGTAGTTCCACCCCACAGTGAGTGGCGATAAAAAGCTCAGAATCAGGAATCATGTAATGGATGAAGCTCGCATTTTGTGTGTGACTAGTTTAACGAAGATTTCAATAGAAACGGAACATGATCGAAACGAAGCGGGAAACAGGAAACACGTAGGAGAGTAATACCAGGCAGAAGGGAGACAGACAGATTCTGACGTATACAGGGACGGAAACACAGCAGCAGAAGACCAGACGGACGGGGGCGACGGCGGCGGCAGTTCTAGTTCCCTACTTTAATTAGTCTCCTGGGCTGGAACTTCAAACTGCTTCAAGTCTCGCGATTGTCAACACGTGTTTTCTTTTACAGATAGATAGACTTATAGAGGAGTGTGAGAGATTTTTCAACCTCATTAAAATCTAATAGTCCTAATTTATTCTAACATATAATTTTGAACGGAAGCGAACTGTAGCTAAGGAGGAGATCCTCCCCTGCGGACGCGACTAGGTGAGTTCTTCTCTATTTTGTCTGCTTGTATTCAATATGAAAGGGACGTACACTATGCTTGGGTCTTCTTCTCTATTTTATCTTCTTGTATTCAATATGAAAGAGACGTAAACTATGCTTGGGTCTTCTTCACTATTTTATCTTCTTACAATATGAAAGGGTATCATCACATAGCTGTCCATTTCCATTCCTATAAAACCGTTCATATCTTTGAAGGGGATTCTCACAATTTTCTTCCTTTCTCGAGCCGTTGGGTGCTCTTTCGTTCTTTTTTTTTTCCTACTTGTTTCTTCTACAGTTGCATAATTGTTCATGGGATGGTCATTTCATGGAATTCATTGTTATTATCCCCAACCGTTTCATGTGGTTTATCAGGAGCTGTAGCCTTCCTTTTTGAGTCATGACGCGACTGGTTGGGTAGGTTGAGGCTGTTGCTGTTGCTGTGGAGCTGATGCACACAATACTGTTGCTGTCATTTCTTTCACCGCCACCGCCAAGTTTACCGAAAGACAATGTTGTTGATGAATTGTTGGTGTCGTCTGTGGCAACAGCCACCACGATGGTGATTGGGCTGGGGGAGGTGGATGCGCGAGCGGCGAAAGCGGTGGAGGTGTTGGTCGTGGTGACGCACTAGCATGAAGGGCACATGGTGACGGTGGTAGCATGGAGCTGGATGTAGAAAGGATGGGGAACGTCTCGACATGACCGGTACCTGACGACGGAGTTTAGCTGGTCGGAGTGCTTCCTCACCAGGTCCTCGTTGACCACTCTTCTAGAGATTGACGAAGAGTTCGCTTTCTTCGCCGAACTCGCGCAATTTTGTTGTCTGTTTATTCATTGCCAAATAAAGTCCACTGTATCATTCAAAAAATATGCTCATACTTCTTGTGCTATGGTGAATGTACATGAAAGTTGTTGTCACTTTCGATTAACTAAATCAAGATTCAACCATAAACTAAATATTACAGTAGCTGAATAAATATGCTAAATATTCTGGGTACTTACTCAAATCAATTTTTTAGCCAGCTACTTAGAACCTACATGAATCGCGATCAACATCCAATTCATGGTTCAAAAAAACTCAAAAACGCTTTGGCTAAAATTTGCATGCAAAAGAGAACAACAAATCAAACTTAGAGCAAAGAATCGTATGGACAATTTCCAATTTCCAACCGCCACCGATCTACTTCCAGGGAAGCTTGAATCTAAAGGAACACTCAGGCACGGAGCGTCGACGATGGATTGTGACCCTGTGATATTTGGAGGTAGCGACCGAAGCGAAAATCAACTAAGAAATTGATTCGGATAAGAACAACCGTTCTGGTCTTTGTCGTGCTGTCATGTTTGCGTGGCCTCTCGATCAGATTATGATTTCTTGTCCTTCGTTTCTTTCCTATTTTTCGTTTTCTGTTCTTTTGTTCGCTCTTCCCTGTCCTGTTGAGGTTAATTACTCTTGTCGATCTCTTTGTGTTTTGTTTCATTTCTACTATTTTCCCTTCCAGGTTGATAAGATCATGTCTCCTAATCTCTGTTTGTTCTTGTCGGACTTTCTTTTTGGCCCAAACATCTCTTGTAGTGAGTGACATATGAAATTGAGGTAATGATATATGTATGTATGTATTAAGATTGATATAAATTTTGATCCCTGACTTGAGAGTAAACCTCTTAGCAATTATAACAGATTACTTTTGTCACTAAAAGGAGATATAATAAAATGAATTAATATCAATAATTTCTTTTGTTTGGCCCATGTACAAGGTTACTGGACACAGTTATTTTATTCGAAAGAAAATCGTGAACTGTACAAAAAGATCAGTTAAATCCAACAATAATAAGGGGATGATTGCACCGATTTGGTTATTATAAATTCAAGGCATGAAGATGTATAGTAGGTATCGTTCGTCAAATAATAGTTAGTAAAAGAAAGCAGAAGCGACTGTGCAGAAGAAATCGACGTAACATAAACTCTAAACTATGGTTATAACTTTTTTATTACTATAAGAAATAAATGCCATCAGAATGTAGGTATTTTTACCTATACATCTACGACAGCAAGTGGATGGACAGTCTTCAATCTATAGACGGGCAGGGCAACAACCAACCAGTAAATCAATGGTTACATACCAAAATGGTCAAAAAGTCTTGATCGGTCAGACCCATCGAAATGTGAAACCATGCATCACATCTTCTTTCTGCTTGAATTCTCGAACTTGGGCCTTGGGGTACTAGGTGAGTTATTCTCTATTTTGTCTGCTTATATTCAACACGAAAGGGACGTACACTATGCTTGGGTCTTCTTCTCTATTTTATCTTCTTGTATTCAATATGAAATGGACGTACACTATTATTGGGTTCCTATAGTCAGTGTGCACTATTGTTTTCCCGTACATGCATTGTAGGAGGCTTTTGATCTCGTCTAGGTGAGCTCTTTTTTGTTTTATCTGCTTGTACTCAATGCGAAAAAGACATATACTATGCTCGGGCCCCTATGGTTGGTGTATGTTGTTGAATCGACGTAACCTAAACTCTAAATTATGGTTGTTACTTTTTTGTTACTATAAGAAACAAAAGCCATCAGAATGTTAGTATTTTCACCTATATATCTATGGCTGCAAGTGGATGGACAGTCTTTAATCTGTAGACGGACAGGGCAACAACTAACCAGTAATTAATGCTACAAATCAAAATGGTCAAAAGGTCTTGATCAGTCGGACCCATCAAAATGTGAAACCATACATCGCATATTCTTTCTGCTTGAATTTTCAAACTAGGGCCTTTGGTACAGGTGCACATCAAGTTGAAGGCAAATGTTGGTCCATCAAATGGTGAAGAGAAATGGATAGAGCCGAAAGAGAAGAGATAGGAAATAAATTTGACTATTTCGGGAAGTTAACATCGGTGTTCAATTATTACGTTGTCGGTTGCAGTACTGCTTATACTAAGACAAAACAAGCGTCATTTTCAAACTTGACACTCATTTATTATGAGCAATGATAAATCCAACTTACTATTTATATACAGTGTGTTTTACGTTTTTTAAATATTGTTATTATTATAAAGCAAATAGTTCTCAATGACAGTTTATGCATGGAAGAATTTGTACATTTGTTTTTTGTATGTTTTAATTATACGTTTTATGATATTTTACTTCAATACCTCGATTTTGCGTGAATGGTGTTATGTTTTCAATATACGGGTGTAAGGGTTTGGAGTGGACGTTCACTTCCCTTTATGGTCGGTTCTTCACGCATTTCTCGGGTTAGCTATATGAAATGTAAGGTTGTTATAAACAACTGGATAGTTTTGCCATATAATTTCTTTGCTTTTAGATTTGATACGTCTAATTGACATGATAAGCGGTGTAAGAATAATCAATTGAGTTGGAGATCACTAAATTAAATCAATCCGTTGCAAGATGTAAATCAAATATTAGCAGTTGAGGATTTGCCTGTCAAGTAATCCTTGCTCATGAAGTTCAATGGAATTTTGAACATATGAAATCAAGTTTTAATTGCGATGAAATTTTAATTGCGGTGAGCATAAAAAATCAAAGATTGTAAAATTATATTGAAAGGTGTACAAGTAAAGTCAAGACTTGATATTTTATGATGAAAATATGATTTATATGTGGTTCAACCCTTTCGTATCGTTAAAAATCAAATGCTAAGTTAAATTATATAAAAAAATTTAACGACCAAATCGTAAGATATAATATGCAAAATCATAATTATTAATTATTTATTTAATAATTATGGATACTCCTTAATTATTCTCCATATCAATCAAATATATTATGACTGCAACAGTAAATATACTATTCTATTTATGACCCCACCCTAATACATCATATTTTTCCCAAATGCTTTTGCCTTTTTCTACCCAAACATACCCTCTGCTGCCCTTTTCTTTCTCAGTTTCTCTAGGCAACTCATACCACCACTGTCCTCCCTTTTTAGCTATAGTCCTTTATTGCCATACCACATCTCCTTTCTTTTTTAAACGTGCGTTGATTTTTGACTTTGTATCCTGGTATATTGTTTATTGCCATGTCGATGGATTATCTTTTGCCAACTTCGATGCAAGGTAAATTTCTTATTATACTACCTTTGATTGTGGCGCATGTTGCTGTTTTGTTCAACCACAATATAATGATGTTGTATTTTTGTAGATCTTGTCATGACTTCGTTGGTCGTTCGTCAGCTGGATGGATCAATTGTGGATACCCATATTGTTGCTAGACTTATTCATATGTGGACGGCAAAAGAGTGTGTTTGTATGACCAGTCCTCTTGTTATGTATACGCTTTGGGTTGACAGAGAGGTTGCGTTTCTGTTGTGCTTTATTTACATGATCATGTTGCTTGTTGTTGGGATGATTTGTATGAGTTTCCGGATACAGGAGGACATCATTGAAGGTTTTACAGTCCCTGAGGATAGTGGTGTTGTTGGTGCCCTTATTCGGGTTGGTGGGATATACGACATGAAACTTGTGTCATTGATCCCAGCCAGGACTACCGGAAATCCACTGCGAAATGCTCCGTGTGATTTGCGATTTCATTTGACAAGAACCCAGTCTTTTATCGAAATTCCTGATAACAATATGCCGAAGTTGGCTTTATTTCCCCTTGATGGGTTTAGGGACTCACAATTTGAGGATTTGGTGCAAATGTGTTATGATTTACAAAACTTGGCAGGTGATTTTTTTCGTTTGTTAAGTTTTAATTTATTGAACTGGAAGCTAACGCATGTCTTTTTGCATGTCAGTGGGCGTGTTCTTGCTTTGTCGGATAAACACAATATTTCAAATAGATATATGTCTTTTCATATTGTTCTCTAGAATTCAAGGTCATTGTTCGTAACTTCCGGTGGTTGATTGTGTCCGTC